ATTGGAAAACTTCAGATATTTGACCAGGAACCTTTACAAAGTTCGAACCTTACAACTCATTTAACTTCAGTGGATTCTCATCGGACATTAGTATTTTTACGAAAACATTACATAACGTCATGGTGGAAAACCCGCTGTGTGTGGCCGATAAATAACGAAGGATAAAGCTAGCAAGTTTTTCGTTAAGTGAAATATACCTACGTCAACTCGCTCATCGTGAACCCTCGATAAGATATCGAATAAGTTCCAGATTAAAAGGAAGACTTTATATTGCTTGTAAGTTTGTGAAACTTTTGTTTATAAATCATTGTTTGTAATAACTATTATTGTAAATTGCATTGTTGTGTGTATATTAAAACGTATTTGTGTTAAAAAAGAAAACTGTGTGTATCAATCTTGTTCGCAAATATCATATAACTGACTATATATTGGCTTTTACTTAACTAATAAATCGAAAGTGCAATTTAACTACTAAATTTAAAGTATTAGTTAAGTTAATTTCAGACCATTTGAAATTCTAATACGTAACACCTAATTAAAGAAATCACTTGGTTTTGAAGCAAAAACATGATGTCCTCTTTAACACCTTCCGCATTTGCATATGTTTTCCCATTAAAATGGTGTTGCAACGAACGACAAAGATGGTAATCTAATGATGCCATATCTGGAGAATATGGTGGGTGGGGAAGAACTTCCCAACCTAACTCCATAATCTTGTGTTGCTTCAAACGCGACACATGTGGACGTGCATTATCGTGGAGAAGAACACCTTTCCGAATGAATACTGAAGGGCGTTTTTGATGCAGGGCTTGATTTAAACTTTCCATTTGCTGACTATAGATCTCTGCATTGACAGTTTGCTGTGGATTGAGGAGATCGGAATGAATTACTCCTTTGATGTCCCACCAAATGCAAAGCATCACTTTCTGCGAATGTAGTCCAGGTTTTGGGGTCGAAAGTGGTTTTTGTCTAGGACTGAGCCATTGTTTTTGGCATTTAATATACGAATAGAGAATCCATTTTTCATCACCAGTGACAATTCTGTCCAAAAATGGTTCACGCGCATTACCCGCCAGAAGAGACGAAGCAACGTTCACGCGTTTGAAACGACAATCATTGGAGGCACCCAAACACCTTCTTTATGGAGTTTCCCATATTCCTTATATGTTTATGTATTGTTTCATGAGAGACATGCAATTTCAGGGCCATTTCACGAATGTGTTGCATTTGGTTAGACTCAACAAGTGTTTTCAGAGCATCAATATCAATTTCAACATGTTGGCCTCTGCCATCACAGTTTTTAAGGCTAAAGTTACCTGAACGAAATTTGCTGAACCACCATTGACATTTACGAACATTCAAAATATTTCCATAAACGTCTTTGATATTCTTTGTGACTACAGAGGCGTTCTTTCCCTTCTTGTATTCAAACAGCATTACATGCCGAATGC